CAATCTCAATCGGAATCATTTGATTGTTGATTTTGCAACTAAAAATGCGAGAAGAATAGTATTTAAGTGATAGTTGGTTCAATGGTAAACTAGATATGGCTGAACTATAAAGTAATAAAACCAGTTTTTTAGTCATTGTAATGATTGCTTCCTCTTTTAATATATGAAAGTAAATTTTAATTTATAATTTTAATGATTATATGTGCAAGTAAATTTAAATAAAAAAAAAACTTCTTAATACTTATCATTTTATGCAAAAATATATATATTTTTTAAAAATGTATGTAAGTGAGTCCTATTTTCATAGTTTGCCTTAGGCTTCATAAATAAATAAATAAATAAACTAGTAGACAAATAATTATTTTTCTTTCATGTAGTTAGGTTAGAAAAATGTGAAGGAAAGGTACCTGCGATAAAAATTTATTTTTGAGTAAATTACACATATGTTAATTTAACCCTTCTAATTTTAATTGTATCAGTTTTAATCTTTAATTTTTCACATTTTTCAATATAGTCAAACTTATAATCCCCTTTAGAAATTAAACTAAAATTAAAGAGCAAAATAGTTTATTCACTCTCTTCAAAAAGGGGTTGGCATCTAGCTTGTTCAATTTCGTAATAAATGTTCTCAATTGGATTAAACTAACATAACGTAAAAAAGTCCAAGGTAAAATTCATACAATTAAAATTACAAATACTAAATTGATACAAACGGCAAATTACAAAATCCATGAGTGTAATTTCACATCAATTTTATGTATAAAAATTGAATATGTATGAAGTACAAATTAAAAAATAAATAATATGTATAAGCAACTTCATTTCCTTCAAATTTTTTTTCCTTTTAACAAATTTAAGATCTAAATATAGCATTAATTTATATCTTACATTGCGTGCTTAACACTAATGGTTTGGAAATAGGAAAATTGATGAGGAGTTCAGTTCTAGGGGTTTGCTTTTAATATAAGAGTACTTACAAATGCAGTTCCTGTCTCAGGAAGAATACCAGTTGATGCAGAAGCATAATTAACCCCAATTTGAGGATGTATCCAAGCTTCATCAATTGTCATCGGTGGGCTTACTTTGTGATGAAGCTGTATTGATGTGTGCGAAGTGAATTTACAAAAGAATTAAAAAAATAAGGAAACAATTTTAAATTACGGATCAACTTCATAAAGGCTACTTATCGGTACTATACTATATATGCTAATATTCTTGGGAAATGTTCTGGTGTGTAATGTATACTGTATACAATCTTATATAAAATTATGTAAATTTTTACAAATTTACGTAAGTGATCACACAAATACAAATTTGTGTAAGTTCATGAAAACTTATGTAATTACGTAAATTTGTGTTGAACTTACTATTTTTTGAAATCACTTATATAAATTCGTGAAAACTTACATAATTTTTTGTAAGATAACATATGGTGTGCATTAATGTTTCCGTAACACACTAACTAAAAACTGTTAAAACAATATCTATTTCTTGCTTAAAGTTAAGGGTTTAAGGTGAAAGGCCCTTCAATGTAATTTTTAATTGCCAACAAGACAAAAGCATAAATTTTTGCATCATCAACCACACCATTAATTAAATTTATTTTTAAATTTTAAAATATTAAGAAATGCTATGGTGTATATCATATGTACCTTATCACAAAATTTCATCACATCAACCATAAAATGCATAATCTCACCACAAATTGGCATAAGAAAAAATGTCGTAACCAAACTACAAAACTTTCGCAACATCAACCATAAAAATTTGGACATTAATTTGTGGCCTGGTTACTCATTTTGTAGTTGATCTTACAAGATTTTATGGAAAAATTACATATTTTTGTCATATGGTGCAATGGTATATATCCCTAACGGGGTGTAGGGTGCACACAATAAGATTTCCTCACAAGTTTTTATCTAATTGTTCTTCTTTATAAAATTGGTATTTTTTGAATTTTGTCATTGAGATCTATCAAATACAAACCAAGTTGAGTATTCAAAATTTTTTAGAAAAAAAACACGTAAACCTTTATTGTGTTCTCTATTCTCAAATAGTGAAATTTCACTATTTATCTAAATTTCAGCACTTAAACAATAGAAATTCCATTAATAATGATCACGGCACTTTTTGATTTTTCAAATCAAATGATCAGCAAAAAATAAAAAAATAAAAAATAAATAAAATCAACTTGCTCTAAAAATCATAAAATTAAAGTAGGACATTCCTCCTACATATAAGTCTACCGTATATATGAAATAATTTTCAAAATCAATTCAATTGATTGATAAAAGTAAAATGAAGTATTCGTGTAGCAAACTTTTATTATATACAATGCACGTGCACCACTACTAATGTATATATATACGTGAAAAATGGTGTATAATTCAATTCCTCTAGTTTTGGTGGTCAATCAAAATCTAGGTTAGAGATATGTGAGTCTAGATTTACCAGACAATCACATATTAGCTTAAAGATCTTTCTTCTAGCAAAAGATTATACAAAAAAATGACATGCAAATGAATTGAAAATTCAAAAACTTTTAAATTTGTCCAAAAATGATAGGGAGAGAAGGCGACAATAAGGGTGGCTTGGGAGAAGAGATGGGGTAGCGATATGGAGACTAGAGAAAGGACATTGACGATAGTTGGGGAGGGAAGAGGGGTTATAGTGGTGGTCAGAAAAGGGAGATGATGCATCAGCGGTGGTCAGAGGAGGAGATATGGTGGCAGGGTTGGTTTCGGAGAAAAGATGGGTGACAATGGGTTTGAAGATAATAGATTAGGTGGTTGAAGAGGAGTATTTGGCAGATTAGTGTTAGGGATTTGAGGGTTTCAAAGTAGATGACGAAGGTTAAGGATAGAAATGACCTTTTGCATTTTAATTTTACTTTAAATTGAAGAAAAATTAATGCCCACCCTCAAAATTGGCAAATGTTATACACTTTTTGTCAATTTGGATGGAAACATTAATTGTTGCAATTTAATCCAAAATCACAACGAGTCTTTCTATCTATATTCGAACAATAGAGGGGGTAAAGTGCTCCGAGTTCAAATCACAAGGGGGCTAAGTGAATTTTACCCTTAAAAAATACACATTATTAAAAATATTTATGGATTCTCACCTATAATTTCTGGAATTGTTTTCCCATTTGTGAATCTTTCCAATCCTTTCCAAATGCATTCTAATCCATAGGGTTGGTATCCTGCCTTCATGCCTGCTGCATGGCGAGTCTTGTGGCCATAATCAACTATTGAATCTCCAAAAACATGCAAATTTGGGACTCTTTGTGCTAGGCATGTCATGGAAAGCAACCCATGAAGATGCAAGAAAAGGTAATCGAAGATAACTAACATAGTAAGTGTATCCCAATTTTAAGATTAACCTGCAAACGATTAGACCAAAAGTTAATGAAGTTTATTTTCAAAGTTCAAATTGGAAGTGATATACCCAAAAATTGGCCATATTGATTCACTTTATATGATAGAATTTGTTTGTTTGATTCTTTCTTCGTTTCATATTTATTTATTTTTACAACATGGTGAATATACTTACAATTCGAAAAAAGTCAAAAAAAAAAAAAAAAATCAATTGCCTAACTACATTAAAGATATTCATTTTAGTTTTTCAATATTTTCTGGAAGCTAATTCCTTGAATGTCCTTAGGCTTTTGCTTAACTATTGAAAGGATGACTTGAATCTACGTAGGTTGATAAGCTGACAAAATCTTTTGTGTGTGCATAAACCATAGAAATCATACCTGAAATAAATGTAATGGGTAACATTTTCAAGATCAAATGTATCCTATTTATAGGTTAAAGAACGTAGTTAACCATGGAGTTTTCTAACCTTAATTGTGATTACAGATGAAACTATCATATTTAATTTAGGAATTTAATGTATTCAATTTATTGTTGAGAAGTTAGAAAGAACTTGCTGAGAAATTCATTGTGGCCTAGGAATTTAATAAATAAGTTGGAACTGATAAGCGTTACTAAAAATTTGATACCATTACAATCGCATTATTGTAGTTCATTTAATATTCTTGCGTAGATTTTTAAATTTTTATCAGAAAAATATTTTTATTGAGTCAAAGAATAAGTAAAATGAGATTATTGTAGGGAGGGCTATTTTGACACCACTTTACCTTAAAAACACTTCATTTTTTTTTCTTTATCATACATAGTTACATTAATACCCTTTAATAAAGGGCAATTGAGGTATATGTGCAAAAGTCAAAAGGGTATTAATATAACTATGTATAATAAGAATAAAAAAGGGAATGTATTTGAAATAAAGTGAAATGGTAATAACGGTTCTTTATTATATTGTGGTGGGTACACTGCAGGAAAATTGACTTTTAGCGGCGTTTTAAAAACGCCGTTATAGGCCTAAAAAAAATGCTTCAATAGGTTTTTATGACGTTTAAAATTTTTGTCGCAGATACGGCTACTACAATAGCTTAGCGTCATTTCATAAACGTTGCTAAAAACACTAGGTGGCATTTTTTAAAACGTCGCAAAATCTTTGACACGCACTAACTTTTCTGTCACAATTAACGTATGATGTAATGACATCATTTAATGGCGTTTTTTTAAAAAACGCCACCTTCATTTTCATGCTTGCCTCAATTATGATGTCATGATAACATCATTTAGTGACTTTTTTTTCAAAAAACACTTTTTTGTTTTTTGTTTTAAAGAACATGGCCCTATCAATTGAGAATTTAACTAGGATTAGAGATTGAGAATTTAACTAGAGAGATAGAGAATTAACTGAGAATTTATATAAATTTAACTAAGAATAGAGATTGAGAATTAACTGAGAAATTATATAAAAGAACACAGATTGGCTCAAATTTGGATCATAATGCCAAATTGAAGACCATAAAAATTCTACTTTATCTCCTTGGAGATTTAACCCTACAACCTTCTAATTCTCAATCATGCACTGTTCAACAGTTTGAATTTTCTTCAAATCACCCCCTCCTTTTTTTTTTCAACTGCACAAACTAATCTGCAATCTAAATCTTTACTTTGCAACCAGCAAAAGTTTGTTTGTTGACACTAATTATCTTCCTAACACCTGGTTCAAAAATAAAATGAAAATGAGAGCACGCCTAATTAACAAAACTTGTTATCACAGTTGTGGAAAAGCAATAATTGAGAGAGAATTTAAACTTCCACAACAATCAATGTTTTCTAAACACAAAACAACAAATAAATACACAATTCCATGGACTGTCGGGGAAATTCTAGGATTAAAAAACATTGATGTAGTACAACTCAAATAATTTTAAACCAATATATCTTTGGTATATGAAGGGTTTGTGGTTCTAATATTATCAGATCTGACAAAACAAGAAGTAGATAGGACAATCTTATGCTTGGATATTATATGGCTACAATGCAGACAAGAATGATGAAATTACTTGGTCAGATTGCACAAGTAGTCAACAACAGGACCACTAATGGATGTAGCCTATAGCTTGTGCACTATTTTTTAAAAGACTCCAAAAACTAGCGACCACCAAGAACTCTATGACCAGTACCAATACAACTTTTAAACTATAATTCTAGTGTGACATATTAGTATCAATATCAATAAATAAATAGCCAAGTGGACAAATAAGCAAACTATGATTAAGCTACAAGAAAACATACTTAGCATTGAAAACACTAACAACAAATTGCATAAAAGTACCAGTAAACAGAAGCACACCTTACCGGTTTTGATCGGGACAATGTCATCCACAGACAGAGGCTCCCCAGTAATAGGGCATTTTCCATACTCCTAGTTAAGGAACAAACAAAATTGCAGATTTCAGAGTGTTTAGAACTACATTGAAAATTCTTCCTAATAAACATAAAATTCAAAAGAAAAATGTGATATAAATGGTACAAAGAGAGTTTCGAGTGCAGTGTTTCCTGTCTTTCTTTCTTTCTTTCTTTTTAAAAATTTCTGAAGCCCCAAATAATGAAAACCTTCACTACCCAAATTTCCACTTTTATTTTTTCCTTAGCATTTTCTCGGTAAAAAAATAGAGTACATGGGCAAGAAACAAATTAAAACCCTACATCAGAAACTCTTACTAATAATCATAGGATTCAAAAGAAAAATGATAAATAAATGGTACAAACATAGTTCAAATGTAAACAAATTGACCGCATATAAAAATTGGGGAAAATAAAAGATAACATTGAATCTTTTTTTCTCTCTCTCTCTCTCTCTCTTTTTTTTTTTTTTTTTTTTGCTTAAAATTTTTGAAGTACCAAAATATAATATACATATATGAATATAAGGTGATTTCTTCTTGTGAATGTAAACATGAAGCCAAAATAGTAAAACTAGAACGATGGAATGATAAAATTACCAGTTTGTAGAAATAATGTTGACATGAACCATGTATGAACGCCACAATTGTTTCTGAAAATACTGTTAAGGCCATCAAAGCATAACAAGGAAAAAGGAAAGAGTAAGGGGTGAACACCATATTGCTTAAGCAGAAGGGGAACAGGTATGCACTGTGCCACTTACCCCAAAACAAAATAAAATTAATTATAATTTTTCCTTCCAAAAAAAGAAAAAAAATAAGGCATTGTATTTCCAAGTGCAAGACTCAAGGTTGTGGCAAGCTTTGGGTACTAGTATTTTTTTTCCCAGACACAGTGACTTGGAACACTAAATAAGATCGTAATGTAAATTTAAATACGCATATATGTATAATAAATGTAATTTATAACAAATGGACCTTAAAAAAATGTCATAAATTTCAATTTTCAACCAATGAACCATAAGCTATTTTTACTATGCTTTGCTTCAAACTTGTCCATTCAAAGCAGAAGAAGACATTTTCCAGCTTTTTGTAATAGCTCAGCGAAGAACATAGAAAGAAATAACAATAAGCAAAAACAAGGGTAGATTTTTATCTCCTAGGCAACACATCGTAACTGGGCAGACAACTTCAGATCAAAATGATTTCAACCAGAAATTCCAGGCTTCCAGCCAATATTAATGATGACTAAATTTTGGCTTGGAGTTGGAAAACAACCTTTATGGATCAGGTACAATCTCAATGTTTTTGGGGAAATGACATGACAACAGGACTGGCGTAATGTTTTATATTCCATAAAGATATATTTAATAGTAGACTCTGAATAAACAGGATACTTGGGATTGGAAACGCATACTATTTGGAACATTCCAAGCATCCCAGGAATGCTTGCAGCTTATATTGGTCTTGGCTTCATTATCTGCACAGAATTCTTATATGATGAAGCTACAAGAAAACATACTCAACACAGAAAACACTGACAACAAATTGCATACAAATACAAGTAAACAGAAGCACACCATGCTGGTTTTGATCGATACAATGTCATCCATAGACAGAGGCTCCCCGGTAATAGGGCATTTTCCATACTCATAGTTAAAGAACAAACAAAAATGCAAATTTCAGAGAGTTTTGAACTAACATTAAAAGTTCTTACTAATAACCATAAAATTCAAAAGAAAAATATGACAAATGTGTTGCTGATAAAAATTGGGGAAAATATAAGATAACATTAAATCTTCTGTTTCATATTCACAAATCACAATCACTAAGCCGAAAAGTTTTACTAAATTGAGTGCATTCTTTCCTGTCTTTCTTTCTTTCTTTTTTAAAAATTTCTGAAGCCTCAAATAATGAAAATCTTCACTATCAAATTTCCACTTTTATTCTCAGTATTCTCAGAAAAAAAAAAAAAAAAAAAAACAGAGTACATGGCCAAGAAACAAATTAAAATCCTACATAAAAAATTCTTACTACTAATAACCATAGAATTCAAAAGAAAAATGTACAAACATAGTTAAAATGAAAACAAACTGAACCCATATGAAAATTGGGGAAAATAAAAAATAACATAGAATCTTCTTCTTCTTCTTGTTTTTTTTTTCTTGCTTAAAATTTCTTAAGTAGCAAAAAATAAAAACCTTTACAATCCAAAATTTTTAATTTTATTCACTTAGTACCATTTTCTCAGTAAACAAACAGAAAAAATTTGAAACCCTAGAATCAAGAAAGAGGGAGGAAGCAAACATGCGGATATGTGTCTCTCAATCAATCGCTTCTCGTAAAGAAGTCCAGACTTCATCGAAACCATCGGCTCCTTCGGTACTTCACTGAAAACTGCAAAGAAAAAGCAGTGATCGGACAAACCACTACAATAACCATTGAACAACAACATTTATATATATATATATATATATATTCGTATATGTATATTATATATCAAGAGCAGCAACATTTATATATATTCGTATATGTATATTATATATTGAGAGAGAGAGAGAGAAAGAGAGAGAGAGAGAGACTTGAGCAATTCATGGTAAAGAGTGATAGAGTTTCTCTGAGCTCTTTAGTGCTTCGACGCAGTTGAGAAGTAAGAACTGGTAATGAAGAAAGAACATACCAAGATGCAAGTTTCTACAAGAATTTAGAGAGACAAAGCAGATCTGATATTACCATGTTAGCAAATCGCAGGGAGAGGGAGAGAGAGAGAGAAAAAAAAAAAGTAGATCTGATCGAAGAGAGAGTAGATCTGCATCTCTTCATCGTTGAGCTTCTACACACTATTTCCAATGATCCACATCCAACGCCACCTGCTTGTCCAGTACATGATCAGCTTGTCCAGTACATGATCAGAGACACTAACACTGCACTCAAAACCCTAGATAAATCGATTTACCATTGTTGTTGCTCAATCTGATAAAAGAGAAGAGTTTTCCATACAAGGACTAGAAAGAGTAAAGGAACAAAAACGAAAAGAGAAAACACAAAAAAAAGAAAAAAAAAAGTTGAAAATCAACTAAATCGAGATAAAATAATTCCAAATCGTTAGTTTTAGCTATGAAATTTTATAGATCTTGTGTGAATGTAGCAAATCCATATCAGAAAACAATAACCTTGAGCCCTAGATCGATTTAGATCCATAGGGATTCAAATAATCTGGAATATATATGCTCCAGAAAACCCTAACCTTGGCCCTGTAACGATTTAGATCATACGGATTCGAACAATTAGAAAGATATACGCTCAAATCAAGAGTAGAACAAGATTTTTCAGATCAAACAACCAACGAATTGATGGAGATTGAAGGTCCGATGCCTCGAAGATCCCAGGCCTCGATTTCTCTATCTTCCTAAAGTCACGCGTCTAGTCAATCAGAATAATTTTTTTTTCACTTTTAACGGTTGGCCTACTATTTTTTAATAATCTTGTTTTAACGCCTGACCCACTGTTTTTTAATAATCGGAACACAAAACAAGATAGTTTAGTTTAATTTTTTTTGAAATTTGAAAAATTCGGACAGATTTCACAACGTTTTTGAAAAATGCCATAAAAAAATGTCATTGTATCCCGTTTTTCTTGTAGTGGTAAAAATTGAACCACCTTTGTTGTGGTGGCACTCTGGCGTGAACACGGTGGAACTTGGCTTGAAACAATTAAAAAGATATGAAGAACTCGGTTGGTGGGCAGCTACGGGACTCTCCGATACTTAAGCTAGTATACTTGAAAGTTATGGACAAGAAAATGTAATAATAGAAGCAACCCAAAGTAGTGTTAATTAATTGTCTGACTCTTTCCTTACTTTATATGGCTTTATATAGCCTTCAAAATGGTTGTTGGAGTTGGTTCCACATCCCCTGCCACTCCTCATGTTCCGCACACTTTTTGTGGGATCTTGTTCCACTATCACGAATTTCTAGGACTGGTTGGCCCTTAAAGTAAGGACCATGCTTTGACCAAGTTTGCCCTTGAGGGCCATGCCTTCTAGACTAGGCCTTCTGGTCAGGACCCCTAGACTTCTGCACCTGGCCTTCAGGTCCTACACCTCTGGTTCTGGACCCGCATGTCTGGACCTGGACCTTTGGTCCTGGTCCCCTGGACTCTTCTGGTCCTGGACCTCTAGTCCTGCTATTCTGATCATTAGAGCATATCTTGCTTGCATTCTATATATTTTTTGCTCGGAATGAAACTCTTTATTTTTGCCTTCCACAATTGCCCCCAAACTTTGACTTTTCCAAGCCTAGTCGTAAGGGAAAGTTGGAGTTCATCCAAGGCAAAACTATCCATACTAGAGCAGAAAAATTCAATTTTTGATTCGCAGACTTTCTTATACTCAAGTAATTCAAGTGAAAGAACATAACTAAAATCTGTGCTAGATTGTTCAACTTTCTTGTACGTAGGTAATTTCTGGAAATTAGACCTAAGTGAAAGAACATAACTACAAACCAAGCTGGATTGTCTAACTTTCTTATACTTAGGAAATTGCTATAAATTGCACCTAAGTGAAAGAACATAACTACAGTCTGAGCGGGATTGTCCAACTTTCTTGTTCATAGGGAATTGCTAGAAATTACACCTAAGTAAAATAACATAACTAAAATCTAGCTTTAATTGTCAAACTTTCTTGTACTTAGGAAATTGCTCGAAATTGCACCTAAGTGAAAGAACATAACTACAATCCGAGTTGGATTGTTCAACTTTCTTGTGCTTAGGGAATTACTAGAAATTGCACCTAAGTGAAAGAACACAACTACAATCTAGCATGGATTGTCAAACTTTCTTGTACTTGGGGAATTGCTAGAAATTGCACCTAAGTAAAGGAACATAACTGCAATCTGACCTGAATTGTTCAACTTTCTTGTACTTAGGGAATTATTAGAAATTACACTTAAGTGAAAGAACATAACTACAATCCGAGCTGGATTATCTAACTCTCTTCCCTTTGAACCAATAGTTGTTTAGAAATTTTTTGATCTTCCTTTAGCTTGCTATATTGGTCAATCCTAATTAATAGATCAATAACTCCTCTTGGTAGTTTCTTGGGAAAGGACTGCCATAACCTATCTTCTAGTAACAAGTCATTCTTAAATGTGGCGACTGCTACTTGATTTGAATAGTCCTTCTCAACTTCATAAAAGGTCTCCTAGTAATGTTGGGCATATTGCTTGAGGGTTTGGTTAGGAGGTTTTTAGAGGGAAAGCAAAGCGTTCATCTCCTTAGCACCCTTGATGTTGATCAGAAAGCACTTCACATAACTCTCTGACAACTGTTGCCAATTGCCAATAGACCCTTCATGAAGCTTGTCAAACCATTAGCTGGATACTTTTCCTAGGTTGGATGCGAAGACCCTGAACATGAGTGCCTGATTCCTGTTCCAAAGGGACATTGTATGGCGGTGTAGTGACAAAGATGGTCCAAGATATCTGCCTGACCATCGTAGAGCTCGAACTTTGGGATGTTGAAATTTTTTGAAGGCTCCATGTTATTAATCCTTCTACTAAAAGAAGAAATGATCTGACCAGGCCTTGGTTCTATTATCCAGACCATAATTGCTTCTGATGCTCTTCGGATAGGTATTGAACTCTGCTATTCTATAAAAATGTTAACAGGTGCTGGAGCACATAATTCTGTTTAGAAAAGTGCTGGAGCACGACGTTTTGCCCGGATAAGTGTAAGAGGAGGATGTTCTTCTCGGACAGATGCTGGAGCACGTTGTTCTACTTGGTCAAGTGTAGGAGCATGATGTTTTGCTTGGATAGATGCATGAATAGGATATTCTGCTCCGATAGATGCTAGAGCACGCCGTTCTTCTTGGACAGGTGCAAGAGCAGGATGTTATGCTCGGAAAGATGTAGGAGTATACTGTTCTGTTCGGAAGGATACTGGAGCACAATGTTCTGTTTGGACAGGTGCAAGAGTAGGATGCTCTGATCAGACAGATGTAGGAACATGTTGTTTTGCTCGGAAAGATGCAAGAGAAAGATATTCTACTCAAAAAGATGAAGGAGCAGTATGTTTTGCTCGAACATATGTGGGAGTAAGATATTCTGCTCGAACATATGTAGGAGTAGGATGTTCTACTTGAACAGGTACACAAATAGGATATTCTGCTAAAAAATTGCTCGGTCTGAGCTGATTTCCAATCCTGAGCTGACCTTTAGTCTGAGGTTGGAGTTGACATTGCTTCAAGGTTCTAACTTGTTCAGACAATTTCTTGAGTCGTTTGTCCACTGCATTGATGACTTTCTCTCTCTGAGCTAACTCTTACAACCAGATACTACCTTCTGCTTGGTCTTCCATGGGTTGAAAATATAGCCAGATGCTGCCTTCTACTTGGTCTTTCATGGTTTGGTCTTGAATTTCATGCTCACGTCGTTCACGTGGAACTTTTAAGTCTAATGTGTGTGTCTGTTGAACCGAAGGGCGTAAAACATCATGTTCTTCATCGGTTGGTAGGATGACATTTTCTTTTGCCATCAATGATTGAAAAATGAACGAACTGAAACTAGCGAAGAGTAGAAAAAGGCTTTTTGTTATAAGTTTCCCACAGACTGCGCCAAATTGTGGTGGGTAAAAATTGAACCACCTTTGTTGCAGCAGCTCTCCGGCGTGAACACAATGGAAATTGGCCTAAAACACTCAAAAAAATATAAAGAACCCGCCTGGTGGGCATCCAAGGGACTCTCCAATGCTTAATTTAGTATACTTAAAAGCTATAGAGCAAGAAAATATAAGAATAGGAGCAACCAAAAGTGGTGTTAATTAATTGCCTCCCTTTTTCCTTGCTTGGTATGGTTTTATATAGCCTTCAAAATGGCTGTTGGAGTTGGTTCCATTTCCCCTGCCACTCCTCGCGTTCAGCCCACTTTTTGTGGGATCTTGTTCCACTATCACAGATTTCTAGGAGTGGTAGGCCCTTAAAGTAAGGACCAAGCTTTGACCAAGTTTTCTCCCTGAGGGCCATGCCTTCTGGACCTAGCCTTCTGGCCCGGACCCTTGGACTTGTGGACCTAGTCCCCTAATCTGGACTCGCATGCCTGGACCTGGACCTCTGGTCCTAGTCCCCTGGTCTCCTCGAGTCCTTTAATCTTGGACCGGCAAGTTTGGACCTAAACCTTTAGTCCTGGTCCCCTTGACTCTTCTGGTCCTGGACCTCTAGTCCTACTATTCTGATCGTCAGAGTGTATCTTACTCGAATTCTTCACATTTTCAGCTCAAAATGAAACTCTTTATTTTTATCTCCAACCCCCTCCAATATATATATATATATATGTAATTAGGTGTTTGTTGTTGAAAGTTCTAATCACTTTTTCATATATGTAACGTCCCGAAATAAATACAATAAACCCCATCTCATAATAACCAATAAATAGTAACATAAATGAATTGATAAACTTTCATTAATCAGAGTTTGATATACAAAATGTGACACATGCGATATACATTCATAAATAGTACATCCTAAATCTACAACATATGCTACAAGATAGTGAAAAAAAATGAAAGCTAAACAAATAATCATATTCCCTAAAGGCTTACATCTTTTCAAGTCAAAGCTTGGGTACATGAAAAGTGATATTAAGCTCAATGCATATAAAGCCCTAGGTGTAGACACCCCATTTTTGACCATCCTCACGATTTGGACGTCATCGCTTGCACACCCGATGATGAGTGTATATGCTTGTCAAGCGCTCGAAGTCCTCAGTGGAATGCCATAGCTTTGAGCTTTTCAAACCCTACAAACCTTGTACTCTCATTTTGGACCAAAACTAGAGTTTTTCAAGCCTACAACTTCTTGTGGCCTGCTGGCCACTGCCTTTGACTGCCGGC